AAATTAAAGCATACAAAGCATACAATTGAAAACATAATGATCTAATCCTAAGGTACACCTCACTTATTAATCTTCCCCAGCAGAGTCGCCAGTTCTGTGATCGGTGGGAATGAGAACTGACTGTTTTGGAATACTGGTTCGCGTTTGCGTTTGTTTTCGCAAAATGTCGCCGTAAGCAAGAGTCGCCACCGTCTTTTATTTTATCCAACAAGGAAAGGACAAAAGCACAAAAAAAATCCTTTTTGAGATATTTCTCGGGTTCGGGAGGTAGATTATAGAAAGAGAAGGTGTTAGCACCCTTTCTATCTGTGGTTATCCACGGGCTCTTAGGTACTTGCTCATTGTGTTTTCAAAATTTGCTTTTCTTTGTGTTTGTGGGTTTGAAAAGAGTTTTTGTTTTGAAGAGAGTGTAAGTGCGAAAAGTTTTGTTTTGTTTTAAAAGGAGCAAGTACTTAAGAACCATCTACCTACTCAAAAAGGAATTAAATTGTGCAAATGTCCTTTAGACAGTGCTATCCCACTATTGAGGAGTAGGTAGCACCGTCGTTGGAGTTTTCGGGTCAATTCGATTAAGGGACGTGTGGTCACTAAAGCAATGTTAGGACGCCTTAGTGGTAACCCTAATGTCTTAGATCATTTTTCCGAGGCAACCAAGTGAGGTGTACCCTAAGAGTGGCATGTGCGAGTGTGTTATTTCGGTTAATTTTTATCTGTACATGTCATGGGTGAGCTATTGTTGGTTTTAAGTTAAAGATTGATCTTGTCATGCATTGCCTAGTTATCAAACATCTAACAGTTAATATTGTGCAGAAATTAAATTGCGGAAAGTTAAATCTAAGTTATTACAAGGCGTCGGGTATTTACATCGCCAAAGACAAACCCTTTAAAATTAAATTACGGAAAATAAATAAAAGCGATAAATGAATAAAATCCTAATTTAAAAACTATTACATTCCCGAAGCAATTACATTATTGGACAAAATAATACGCGTGCGAGAAAATTAAATCGGAGTGTTTTTAGGGTTTTGACCCTTTTTTATTAAAGAAAACATTTTTTGTCATTTTTGAATTAAAATGGAAATTAAATCTAAGTTAATTAATTAATTAATTAAATGAAAATATTTTTGGGTTTTTTATGATTAAGGAAATAAAATAAAATGATTAAAAATATTAAAACCTAATATTCTAGTTAATTTTAATTTATTGCAAAAATGTTAAAATTATAACTAATTAAAAAGATTAAATTATTTATTTACAAAAATAAAGTGAAATTAGTTTTAATAAATAAAAATAATATTTTTTTGTTTTCTGATTTTTATTAGGAAAATATTAATTGGTTAGTTTTTTAATAGTTATCAAAATAAATAAATAAAGAAAAGAAATAAAAAGTAAAAGAAATACTCAGGGGGTGCTGGGCCCAAAAAGGAGGTGAATCTGGCAAATTCCCAGGCCCAATTACGCCAGCCTGTTTTGACTTTTGTGATCGCCCACATGCCTGTTGACTTGAGACCATGGTAGTCCTCCATCCTTGGCCACTTGATTAGATCTGAAGCCACCTGGCGTGTTGATATTTGAGGAGCATGGTAGACCCCCTTCTGAGCATTGCATAGGAATACCTAAAGAAAAATCAAATAAAGCGTTTTGGGGGACCTGGGATTCGAACCCAGGTCCCAATGCTCAATAACACGCCTCCCTTGCCAACTCAACCATGCTGCGTAATTGTTAATAGAATATACAACAAATATTATATGGACAAATCAACTAATATGCTGGAAAATAAAAAAACGCGCTAAACTATTTGAACCAGCCAATGGAAGCAAGCCACGTTATCATCTTCTCCAATAGATCCCTGGTTATTTACCTGCGGATTTTTATCCGCAATCATTTTCGTCTTGCTTCCCTGAACTCATCCATGGCCATTATTGGTCCTGATTATGCCTGTATCAAGAATGCCCAAAAAACAAGAATACGAACCCTAGCTTTGGATACAGGGCTATAAGTCATGAAAACAAAATTAAATAATACAAAATCATTGGAAATTGAATGGCAAGCATGAATGTACAAGAAATTTGGCAAAAAGATGCAAGAATGATGAGTTATATTTTCATGTACAGGGGTGTATTCGTGATGACTTACATAGCGATTTAGGAGGTTTTAGGACTTGGTTTTGATTGCTACAGCTTCAAGAGATTGTCAGCAAGAGAGTTATGTCAAGCTTGTGGACTGAATCGTGCTCTAATGTTGATTTTGATCTCCCACTTTTTCACACTTTTTTCAAACTTCGTATGGCCGTTTCTGCAATGCTTAGGGCGTGTTCTTGACCTCTATGGCTTGTGTGTACATAAGGGAATTTTTTTAGGTCAAAACTTGGGCCTTAATCCATGAGCATTGAAGAATCAAGATTTGATTTGATCACCATTATCAAGTTTCCATATTTGCATCAAATCTGAGATTTTGTGCATGTTTTGACTTGGCACGAGTTTGATTGAGTGTCACATGATATTTGCAAGCTGTAATGACCACAAGAATCTCATTACATCAATTTTTAGATTTTATTTGATTTAATATTGATTTAAAATGAATTAAATCAATAAAAATTAAATAAAATAGAAAAATAAATGAATGGCCATGAAATTAAAGATGGGACACGTGTGTGGCATGACAAGACCATATCAAGTGGAAAAAAGTGGGCCCTTTTGTAAAAAATTGGAGTTTTGAGGATAGTTGACTTTTGGCCATTTTGGAAAAATGCTCAACTTCACCAATGCATAACTTCTTCAATTTTGAACTTTTGGAAGTGTTCTTGGACTTTTTAGAAACCTTGAGATGTCCTCTAACCAAACCTTTTGGTCTCATATCATTTTTATCTTCCATTCTCAAGTTATAAGCTTTGGCAAAAAAGGTGTTTTTGTTGACTTTCAAAAATGACCTATAATGTCCAAATTTGTAACTTCTTGTGAGTGCACTTATTGATCTTGGGGTGTGAAGATGGATTGTAGGAAATTGCATCCTCTTCAAAATGAGCTTTGGATGGGTCATTTATCATAAAGTATGTGAAAGTTATGCTTGGTCAAAGTTGAGTTGACTTTTCCTACAAAACCCTAATTTAGCAACTTTTGAATCTTGATGAATCTTGAGCAATCCTTGATGAATCATGATCAACCCTTGATCAAATGATTAATTATCCTTCAAAATGAGAATATTGACAAAAAATCTTGAGGTTTGACTGTTTGTAGGTCACAATTGACTTTTGCCCTAACACAGTCGATTTTTGGACCTCTTGAGCAATTGACTGACCAAACTTTCTCTGCAAGGCTTGAAATTTTACATGGATGAACTTAAGAACATATTAGGACATTGGGGATCAATTGAGGTCATTTGGATATGAGGACCTTGATGCAACACAAAACCCTAATTTTGAATTGACTGCCTTAGGAGGTGATTTGACTGTCCAACTCTTGAGCAATCTTGAACAACTTGGAGATGATTTTTGACATGTCTTGAGGAATATGGGAGGGCAAATTTTGGGGTACAACAATGTCTAATAAAGACATATGCATCAGATTGGTCCATCGTTTCTCAAAGGTATTACACAAATTGGATAAATAATTTCATCACTTTTGGTAGCTTAAATAAAGCACAAAAGTTATATATAAGCACTAGGCATAACAGATAGCGACTCTTGCAACAAAAGTTTTTATGCAAGAGAGCGCCATACAACAACACAAGGACACTCGCAGTTCGAAGGAGCTATCACATGTTACAGATGATTTGCAGTGGAACTTTCACAAATTAAATACATCTCGCAACATTACAGAACATAATTCACAAGACAATGACAGTCCAAAGGAGATTAAGAAGACACAATCATACATGGAGCAACAACATCAAGACAATAACAAAACTATGCAACACTATTACAGTTCTAAGAAGCATACACAAGTAAACACATCTATGGATCAACAACATCAAGAAACTATCGATATAAACTCGAGCAATTCGAAGGAAAAAATCATATACACTTGCAACAACAAACTATTCATTTTGACATTCTGAAGGAAAATAATTAAATTATAGAACAAATTTCTAAGGAAAATAATTAAATTGTAGAACAAACTTCAGAGCAACAAAATGAACACACAAAAATGGATAACATACAACATCTAGAGAAAACACACAGTAAAACATTCCAACATTCAAATACAATTATATAGCCCACAGAAAAAATTCAAATACAGTTGGTTGAACAAAACAATGAAAGTGAATTGCATTTTCAACACAACAAAAAATATCCAGAGCAAGCAAATCGAATCGAAATTCGAAAATGAATGAATTTACCTGAGTTGATTTCTTCATTCCTTCTGCAAATTGAGAATGGAAGAGCACAAAAACTATATTGATGGAATCAGAATCGATTGAGAATGAAGAAGAGAGAATCATGTTTAGGGGTTTAGGTTTTCAATTGAGGGAAAGGAGAAGAGAGAATCATGATTAGATTTTTGGACTTTGGGTCATATTGGATCTTTTATTTGGTTGTAGTTATACAACCAACTGGTTATGGATATCCAAATGAATTGATTGAAAAACCAAAATAAAATTAACCAATTTTTGATAATCGAATCTGGATATAATTATAGATAAACCATCAAATCTATTAATTTGAGCTTTTATGTTTCTTTCTAACTAGTGACTATGCTTGCATGTGACTTTATCAAGACTAATTATGAAATCAAATAATTAATATTTAATTTTTCTACCTCTTATTTTAAAAATTCTCCTACTTAATGCATGAAATTCTAGTATTTTCCATTAATTAAACTCAAAAGTCAAAACCTAATTCAACGGTTCTTTTTGAGTGCAACTTATTTTTGGTACCCATAGTATTTTTCTTTCTTCCAATCAAACGAAAAACCCCTAATTGAATTGGTCAAGACGGGGGTGTTAACCTAAAACAAATCGGAACTGAGACTATTGCCGGCGGGAGACTTAAACGGCCGTAGATGGCGGATCCCTATTACCCATACCCAACTTCCGCCCCTTCCGACGGAGGTACTCTCTCTTCTCTTTTTTCTCCATCATAATAATCCCTTTTTAATTATCACCCCATCAAAATCACCACTTTCTTAATGTCTCTCATTGAAACTCTAGTTTACACAATTGAAAGATTCAATTTTTATACTTGGGTAATTTTCATTATTCAACCATTCACCAGGTTGAAAAGAGTTTGATACAAGTTTTAAACCTAGAAAAGAAATCATGTTTTGACTGTTTTTTTCCTGATTCTGTCAGCAAACTTTGCCAGAAGTAGCTATGCCGGTTACATTCCATCCGAGGCACCATCATTGGCGTCTCCTCGTCCTAAATCAACTGAATTTCCGGGTTACGGAACAGATTACCTGCATAAAGACGTAAAATTTTAATCACTTTTGATTGATTTAAATCTGAATTGTAGACATATTTTTTCAAGCTATTATTCATGTGGACTACCTGCAGGTAAGCTTGTTTCGGACGGAGCCATATGGTGTTGATGATATTAGGGGATCTAGAGTTCACTCCGAACCTAATGTTGTGGGTTATTCTCCTCTTGAAGATCCTAAATTAAGTACGAAAAGAGATACTCTGCCGGGTGTTGATCCAAGCATTCCTGATGCGATTGCGAACAATGAAAGATCAATCTCTAAAAGCAGTTATGATGCTCTCCCGGTTTCAGCTGCGGAGTCAAATATTTTGTTTGTGGGCAGCCTTCCAAAAGACTGTACTAGAAGGGAAGTAGGCCGTATCCTTTTCCACTTGCATGTGTTCTTATATGCATCGGTATATATGTGTTTGATCATTGAGTGTGGGTAATAATAGATAATCAATTTGAAGAAACTGTTGTCAAATTCTAAACTTTGTTGGATTTAGCCTTTGTTTGTTTCAAACTTCAGCAAAGACCAAGTGGATAATAATTTGCCTTTAAACAGTTTATGGTAGTGAACTTGTTGGTGTCTGAAATAGCAATAACTGTATTTCAATGTTTTGGTGACTTGAATCCTTGACCTATCCGCATAGATCTTTTCCGTCCATTTATTGGCTATAAGGATATCAAAGTTGTTCACAAGGAGCCAAGACGAGTAAGTGTGTTTATTAAGAATTCCATGCCAACTGTTTAAGAAAATTCCAATATTGTGAGACTCATCTAACACTATTATATTAGATTGCGACGTGATTACTGTGTGTTTAGAAACAATATAATATTGCTTCTACACCTGCCTTGACATTCCTCTAATGATATATTAGCTAGTACTAGTACTGATTAGTGATTACTATGTTTAGTGTAGAATGTACTAGGTTGAACACACCATTTCTTTTTGCTTGATTTATTATGGATATCCTTAATCGTGTTTAAATGACCAAACATACCGCAGAGTGGGGACAAGGCTATGATTTTTTGTTTTGTGGAGTTTACTGAACCCAAGTGTGCTCTCACGGCTATGGAAGCTCTGCAAGGTAAATGCTTCTTCTTTTTTGTTAATATAACTGAGTTTGATGTCTACCCACAGGCTCCTCAGGAAAACATATATAATGCTTTGTACATTATAGGGATCTGTCTGAAAGTTAGGATATATAGAAGACCTCTCAATAATATGAGATCTGATTATACGATAGATGTATATCAAAATATAGAGCAGTGACACTCACAATTACCAGTATTCTTAGTGCTAACTCTTAATGCAATACAACTGGTACAAAAGAAACCCCTTAAAAAAACAGTTGACATTTTAATTAAATATATGACATTGCTTTGTATATTCATATTTAAATATAAATATAATATGGTGTACAGTGTTTTTGCAATGAGTTATGCTACAGAAACTGAGACTTTCGTTGATATCTAGTCCATTTAAAATTTAAAAACTTAAATAACACTTTTGTCACTCTACCTATTTTTTTATTTTAGCCTCCAAATTTTTTCAGAGCATCCTTCAGTATATCTCTGTTAGTTGTTTTGTTCTGCACATTTAAATTCTCTGTTAATTGGTGATATGAAAACTGAAAACCAAAATGTGAACTTGGGTGTGGACTGATATATGTCACCTCATTATCTTATTCTTCCCCAACCCTACCCCTTCCTCTCTCCTACTCCCACCCTGTCCAAAGTGTGTTGTTCATAGGTCTTTAGATGGGAGATAATTAGATCCAACACTTGATTTTGACACTCTCATTTCAATGATCTTTCAGTTTTAGTGTTACTGGTATAGGTTATAATATTTTATTATTTTAGACAATGAAATTGTGCACTTCATATGAAAATATGGCAAAATGTGTTTTCCACGGGGTTTCAGTCCTGGACATAAAATTGTGTACCGATCCGCAATTTGTTACTAAAACAATTTGTGTCTCAGCATTGGCTCAGAATACAGAACCGGTTTTGGACACATCAAGAGGGTGGATGAAAGCTTCTATTCTAGGTTGTTTTTTTTGCAATAATAATACATAGTGATACTTTGGGGTTTATTTTTTAACCAGAAATGTTTCCTTTAAGATGTATTGTGAAACCTCCTTTTGACCTTGTTTGGCTATGTGCTTTGCAAATGACTGTGCAGTGCGAACCTGAGAGGCCGAGTAAGACTGGATAGGGGTTGTGGGAGTATGCTAGAGAAGAGGGATAGGAGTGGGAGAGGAGAGATGGGAGGGAGAAGATGACGAGGTGGTATATTGATTAACAAATGGGATACATTTTGGGCATGTGGCGAGGGCATGTTGATATATTTGGTTGCCAGTTGTCACAAAACAGAGAATTTAACAGCGAGACCGATACATCTAACATATATAATAAATGATGTTTTTAAAAAGTATACTGGTTAAGAAAAAAGAAATGGTATATTTAGAAGGAAAATAATGTTATTTTAGCTAAATTTAAATTAGTAGATGCTTAGTCATGTTATGAATGTGTGGAAATACATACTCACATGTAGAACTTTATGCAGGCTACAAGTTTGATGATAAAAAACCTGATTCGCCAACCTTAAAAATCCAGTTTGCGCACTTTCCTTTCCGCCCGCCAACTGATGATCGACATTAAGCTTTTCAGTATGACAGACTCATGCTGACTGGATTGTATTTCTTGGCCTAGAAGTTTGATGCTGCTTAGATGAACTCTATCTGACGGAGAAATTTGCTTTTGGATTCAAAATTTTAGACGAGGCGGCAGACTGTATTGTATTTCTTGGCTGAGAAGTTTGATGCTGCTCAAATGAACTCTATCTGACGGAGAAATTTGCTTTTGGATTCAAAATTTTAGACGAGGTCCGGCTGTTGAATCTAGAATATTTTTAATAGAATTTTCTTGATCTTAGAAATTAGGCTGTTGCTTTGTACCTTTGAGTTTTGATCCCTCAGAAATCCCACAGCAGTAGGGTGCTGTGTATTGTAAAATAAAATGGTCAGAATTATTTTAATGTTCTCTGGTATCATATTTGGCGTTAAATTCTTTGAAGCAAGTAGAATATATGTAAGAGGTTCATTCAAAGACTCCAGTATTAATTTGTCTCATCGTATTGTTCTTGCATGGTGCATTGTAAGATTACCATGACTCTTACCTGGGTGTATTGGGCTGCAGGGCCGGATAAAAATGGAAAATGCTCATTCCACCCTTATGCCTTCTCCCACACCACCGCGAAAAGACTAGAATATTCTCAGCATCCGGAGATGCATCTTCGAACGCAACTTTTTCACGCACAACTGAAGTGAAAATGGCGAGAGATCCTTATTCTGTAAAATATTGATCCGGAGATGCATCTCTGTATGAATAAAATGTTGATTTGGAGATGTACTTCTGAAATACCTATTAATTCATTAATTATTGAGTCATTCGGATATGTATCTCCAGAATTTTGGCTGATAGATCCAAGTAGAAACAACTATGGCAGAGTGAAATTTAAATAACTTTGATTAACTCCAAAATAAAGAAAAAATTATCAATACTTTTACTATTCAACCTACACAAAATGCACCTAGAAGTCATGTGAAGACCTCGTTTGGAGAGCAAGTCAACCGTAGGGAGTTTATCATGTTGCAATGGGCTTCTTTAAGAGATAGCTGACCATCCTCAATGGAAGTCCAAACTAAGCAGTCATCTCCCTCCCTATCGATAATGATGTCCTTAATCAAGCCTGCAATACTGGGAAAAGTAGTTAATATGTTAGGAGGAATGAACAAATGCCTATCCTGAATGTAAGTTATAATTCTAGTCTTCAGGTTTTTAAGAAAATTCCTTAGGAGATTCAAGTGTTCAGCAAGAACCAGGCCACACCAATTATCTAGCCAAACGTTGATCTTGTCATCCTTTCCAATGAGCCATCTTGTGTTCTCCTTGAGCTCAGATATAGAGTGCCTTAAACCTATCCATATAAAGGAATGGATATTGTTCTGGACTAGGCCGGGCTGGTCCAAAAGCAAGGATGAAGGTCCAATCCAAACGGCCTTGGAGGGGGTCGCGCCGACCAAGAAGCTACAGCCTTGTCCACGACATCCTCGACTTCATGCAGTCCATCTCGACCTCAGCTCGAGCACTCCTCGTAGGGCAGACCATGACCATTACGCCGTCATCTGGATTCCGAAAAGACCGTGTCCCCGTCCGTCCGTACTTCTCGCAGAACACCCAGGAAGGAGACCACGTGCGGGTCCCCACTACACACGTAGAACCTGGCAGTTCCTTCATTGGGCCAAACCTGCCCGGCCCAATGAAGGAACCTTGGCCCAGCGCTGGGGGCTATAAATACCCTTTGTTCCCAGAGGGTCAGGTATTCATTCTCTTACCCATACTCATACTTTTTGCCTGCTCGTACTCCCACTTACTTTAGCATCGGAGTGCCTTGCAGGTACCCCCCATCTCGTTCAACTTCAGCTCGGAGCCAGTCGTGACGGTCCAAGTCTGATCAGGTAAGATCAGTGGCGCCGTCTGTGGGAAACTAGCTTCCCCGTCTTGCAAAAAACTCAAAGACCAAAGCTCAACTCAACTACCACTGTCATGGCTGACCAAGCTCGCGATGAACAAAACGTCCGCGTCGTCGACACCAACAACGGTCCCGCAGACAAAAACGGACACATTAACAACGCCGACAACCCCAGTCATAACACCATCCCTGTGTCAACTGCCCCCGGGCCTTCAACCACCGCGTCATCTTCCTCGGTCCCTCCGCCACTCGAAGAGGACGATGCAGCTCTCGCGAACTACCGGGATGCCCAGTTTCAGGAAGTCCCCGTCCCCGCCGGGGCGGATGCCACAACCCGAGCGCTGTTCGCAACGATCAATCAGACAAATTACCTCATCTTCGCCCAAGGGGAAAGATTGAGGGCACTTGAAGACGATTGAAGACCCCCGAGGAGGCATCGGAGGCCCCAGACTTCACCTCCTCGAGTGACTGAAGTTCATCTCCCGTCTCCCCCGCGGAGACATTACAAAGATACCTCTCGAAGCCTGTCACCCCGCCCATCGGGGAAATGACCCCCTTTGAAGAGGCAACCCATCATCGAAGCCGGAGGACGCGGCCGCGCCCCCGCAAGACAAGAGAGAAGACACTCTGGAGACGGGCGTGGAAGAATCAATCAACAAGCACCACGCTCGAGAGATGCCCAGCACGACCAGGACCGTCGTGCCCGACAGTATTACAGGTCCCCATCTCTGTCCCCAGAACGAAGCGACGAGGACGAACCCCGCGGTCCCCTGTCGCAAGCTATCATGGAGGCGCCCATCCCCCCGGGCATGGAGAAGCCTCCACACTTGAAGGAATACGATGGAGTCGCGGACCCGGTCGACCACATAGACGGGTTCGAGGCTATGCTGCACTATCACAATGTCGGGGGGCCCATCAAATGCCACCTCTTCCCCACGACCCTCAGGAAGGCAGCAATGGACTGGTACAAAGGACTCGCCCCAGGGTCAATCACCTCGTGGCGAAACCTGAAGAACCAGTTCATTAGTTCATTCACGACATCTCGCCGACACCCGAAGACCGAGGCGGCTCTTGAGGCCATCATCCAGAGATAGGATGAAACCTTGAGAGAGTTCATCAATCGCTTCAACCGCGAAGCCATACAGGTCCCCTGCGCGGACCATATGAAGAGATATCTGTTGGAGAGGGGGCTCCTCCCCGGCACAGAATTCAGAAAGGCCGTGGGTATCGAGCCACCCAGGACATTCGACGCCCTCCTCGAAAAGGCCCGGGCATACATGGACTACGAGGAGAGAGAAACGACCAACAGAGCCCGAGACCCCAGGACTCGCGGGTCCAACAACAACTCGCACCAGGAAGCTCCTCCTCCTCCTCGACGAACCGGGGAGAAAAGAAAAGAAGACAGACCCCGGGAAGTCCGGGAGCAACGGGGACCCTCGGGGCGTTTTACCGAGTACACTCCGCTCACAGCTTCCCACGAGCGCATTTTGGCGGAGTGTGCCAGCACAGACTTCAAGGATGGCGGCGTCAAACGTCCCCGACCTGCTCCCGCCAAGCCCGGAGCAGACAAAAACAAATATTGTCAGTACCACAGGAGCCATGGTCATCTGACTGAGGATTACGTCCACCTCAAGGACGCCATCGAAACCCTTATCAAGGGAGGAAGGCTTGCATAATACCGGCGAAACGACGCTCCTCACCGTGACGCCCGAGAGACAGGAGAGCCGGAGGAAGACGCCCAACCATCTGACGAGTCGGTCCCCATCCAGACCGCCTTCTCTGTGACCAGACCTGAGGACTTCGACGTCCCCGAACACCTACAGGAGCCGCTCACAACACACAGCAGGTGGGAATATTTCCCCTCCTCCCTGGTCATCAACGGCGGAGGATTCAACGACTTGACCATTAATTCAGCAAAGAGGAAGCTGGATGAGCTGGTCGACGCGGCACCCCCGCAAACAGTGACATTTGAAAGGGTGAAGGGCAGGTCAGAACCCATCACCTTCTATCTAGAAGAGCTCCCCGGGGGAGCCCCCAACGCGGTCATCCCCTTACTGATAAGGGCAAGAATGGCCAACTTTGATGTGCATCGCATCCTCGTCGACGAAGGAAGTTTCGTCGACGTAATGTACAGCCAACTATTCCGAACTCTACAGTTGGACGACTCACATCTCTCGCCATATGTAGGGTCGGACTTACAAGGCTTCAACGGCTAGACCTCCAAGCCTTGGGGGTATGTAGAGCTCCTGGTTACATTCGGCGAAGGAACAACGACAAGACAGGTCAAAGTACGCTTCCTCGTCATCGACTGCCCGTCCCTCTACAACTGCATCCTGGGAAGACCAACACTGGAAGAACTGACAGCGGTGCCCTCCACCGTCCACCTGAAGATGAAATTCTACACCAAAAGGGCATGGGTAGCTACTATCCAAGGAGACCTGGCCGCTGCTCGAATGTGTTTCAACGCTGCATCTAAGGGACGCGACACCGTCGACGTAGGGACAAAGCCCTCCAAAAGGACGCGACAGGAGCCCGACAAGCAAGAGCCCGCCAAGGAAGAAGTCCAGAAAGCTCCACCAAAGGTCGACTCTATAGCTCTAGACGCTCGTTTCGACCAGGACAAACCTTCCAACAACGAGCAAATCCCACTCCGACCAATACCGGACATGGATTTTGAGCTCGTCCCCCTCGGCGCAGACCCGAGCAAAGGAGTGAAGATTGGCAAGGATCTCCCTGACCTGGCAAGGAAGCAAATCAAGGCCTGCTTGCGCGAGAATGCTGACCTGTTCGCCTGGAGCGCCGCGAAGATGCCCGGACTCGACCCTGAGGTTGCCTGTCACCACCTCGCCATAGATCCTGCCGCTAGGGCTGTAGTACAACGTAGGCGTAGGCAGTCTCTAGAGAAAACTGAGGCTGATGAAAAAGCTGTAAAAGACCTCCTAGAGGCAAATTTTATTTCTGAAGCCCGGTATTCCACCTGACTGTCAAACATTGTACTTGTTAAAAAGAATAATGGAAATTGGAGGATGTGTGTTGACTATACCGATCTCAACCGGGCCTGCCCGAAAGATGCTTTTCCTTTACCGAACATAGACATGCTGGTCGACAACTCAACCGGCTACAGAAC